GACCCCGCCCCCATCTATTCTCTGCCTCCCAAGTCCCAGTTGATCAGGAGGGAATGGGGATTTCTCAGTAACCTTCCCCTGGAGTGGCAAGGGAATGGAGATTTTTACCTTATTCTTCCCTTGCCACGCCCACCAAGCCATGCCCACAGAACCGGAAGTAAAAAAAAAATGAATCCCACCATTGTGCAAAATCCATTGATCTAAATTCATTCCTCAAGTTAAATATGGAAAGACCTTTCCAAAGTAGTAAATAAAAGACAGACTCCACTCTTCCTATCCTTCTTCCTGCATCATTCTTTAAGTTCTTTTTCTTATCCCTTCCATTATGGAAGAAATTAAACACCATGAATATAAAGAACAAAACAAACAAACTTACATGTGTCTTAAACATGCATATTAATCAAAGTGCTCTGGATGAACCCAATAGGTTTTCCTATGTTGTCACCCACCTTCCTGAGTGGAGATAGTCCCCTCTGGACAAGGAACACAATCATAGCAGCAAATTGGCTCTCCTTCTCGAGCCTTCTTGACAAACCCAGGCTGACATTTTTCCACACATTTGGACTGAGGCAGAGACTAAAAAGAAGAAATACAAAAAATATGTTAGATTCACCATTCCTGTAAGATAGAGGTAGATGTGAACATTAGTCAAGTAATCTCTTGGCTTCATCTTGTCAAATATGAAACCTCTGCATACTTCCAAATAATTGCAGGAGATACCATTACAGGCAGATGCCTCATTTAGTTCCTCTTTTTTTCTTGGGGCATATCAAATTACAAAAAAGTACCTTTCTATTTAATAAAGTCTGGAGGAATGAAATTGAGAAAAGATTTAAGCATCGTGACAACCAGGGGGATCTGCTTCCTGTTTATTTCATTAGAATTATAACAATAAAACTGTGATGAAGAAAGTAACTTCTGACCACTAGGATCTGGGGAAGTTTCTTCTGGAAGACATAAAACATTGCAAAGCTGCTTCCCTTTGAAAGCAGTCCAACACTGCTTAGCAAAGAGCTAATGTTGTTTCCATTTTCAAAAAAGGGGGAAAAATAAACTACAGGCTAATTAGACATCAATACCTGGGACGATCCTGGAAAAGATCACCAAGCAGCAGATTTGCAAGCAATTAGAAACAAAAGTTATATTTAAAAAGCCAACATGATCTGTTTGTCAAAAACAGACCATGCCAAACCAATCTTATTTCATGACAAACTGACTGAACTAGTAGACCAGTGAAATACTGGTCCACTAATTCAGAGCCAAGGTGGCGCAGTGGTTAGGGTGCAGTACTACAGGCCACTTCAGCTGACTGTTATCTGCAGTTCAGTGGTTCTAATCTCACCGGCTCAAGGTTGACTCAGCCTTCCATCCTTCCGAGGTGGGTGAAATGAGGACCCAGATTGTGGGGGCAATATGCTGACTCTGTAAACCGCTTAGAGAGGACTGAATTCCCTATGAAGCGGTATATAAGTCTAACTGCTATTGCTATTGCTACTGTAGACATAGTATAGCTAGATTTCAACAAGGCATTTGAGAAAGTGAACCACAACCTACTTCTTAGTAAAATAGAAACATGTGATATATATAGCATCACCACCAGATGGATTTGTAACTGGTTGACAAATCACATTCAACACGTAGTCCTTAATGGAACTACATCTACATGGAAGGAAGGAAGCACTGGGGTGCCACAAGGTTCTGTTTTAGGCCCAGTACTCTTTAATATATTCATAAACAATTTAGATGATGGAATAGAAGGAAAACTCATCAAATTTGCAGATGACATCAAACTAGCAGGAATAACCAACACCCCAGAATATTTTAAGCTCAAAATCCAGATGGATCATGATAGACTTGAACACTGGGCCCTATTTAACAAAATGAAATTTAATGAAAACAATTAGGTTTTACACTTAGGGAAGAAGATACAAATGTATAGGTACAGACTAGATGAAACATGTCTCAACAGCAGTAAATTGCAGGAGGGGATCTTGGAGTCCTAGTCGACAATCACTGAAATATGAGCCAGCAATATGCTACAGCTGCCAAAAAAGCCAACACAATCCAAAGGTATAGTAACAGAGGGATAGATTCAAGGTCATGAGAAATGATGCTACCACTTTATAATGCCTTGGTAAAACCCACTTGCAATACTGCATCCAATTTTGGGACAACCTTTGAATAGCAGATTAAAGTATGAGCCACATTCTACCTGTCACAATCAGGATGGTTCTACCTATTCTGTGAGCTTCCTCTCTGACCCATAACTCTTATAGGACAAGGTGTACATATCAATGTCCCCCTCCATATAAAAAATGTAATCCCAAGAGAAAATCTGACACAGAGACATCCCAACAAGCACTCCCAACCAAACCTACTAAGCACTTGGCAATCTGTGGGGGAGGAGGTGGGGTGAAATTAACACAGATGGGTAGTCAAACCACTCACAAGAAAAGAAGAGTCACCACAAAGTCCCTTTAAATCAGTTTCTGGGAGGGTGTGGCATACAATCAGATTGCACTATGTACCATGCTTGGGAGCTGCGACCATCATAGGTGTGGATCTCACAGCCCTGACTATATTTAGCAAAATAAACAATTTCAAAATAGAGTTTCTCAGTACTTAAACAAATATGGAAGGACAACAGAGAGAGTATCAAGCAAAAAAAGAAGTCCAATCCACTCTGTAACTTTTTTCCATTTTAAGCAAATGGTATGCCCTCTAGGCCAGTGATGGCGAACCTTTTCCTCTTGGGTGCCAAAAGCATGCACACACTATTGCATGTGTGCGTCCACCCCCATAATTTAATGCCCCCCACCATACCATGCCCCCTTTGCATGCATGCATGATCCTACCCCGACTGCCCCACGCATGGGTGCATGGCTTTATTGGAGCCTGAGCAGGTTGAAAATCCCTTCTCCCCCCCAGAGGCCCTCCAGAGGCCAGAAACGCCTGTTTTCTGATTTCCAGTGGGCCCAGTAGGTTCATTTTCTACCCTTCCCAGGCTCCAGAGGCTTTCTAGGAGCCTGGGGAGGGTGAAAATGGCCTTTCCTACCCACAGTCCGTTTTCCAACTTCCAGGTTGCCTGTTGGGCCCTTTTTCTCCTTCTGGAGGCTTCAGGAGGCTGAAAAGAAAATTGCAAACAGGCCCAACTCTTAATATTAGACAGGGTTCAAGGGTTCTAATGACTTCCTTGCCATTGAAAAAGAGACAATGCTTGAATTAAGTGCCACCAACCTAGAATGTCACTGAAGTACATACCATATTTTTTGGACTATAAGAGGCACTGTAGTATAAGACGCATTATGATTTTGAAGAGGAAAATGTTTAAAAAAGCTTTTGTACTCTGCAGGCCTCCCAAACCTTCTGCACATCACATTTTTTTTGTAAAAAAGAGGGGGAGACATGCAGAGCTTTCGGAGGCTCTTAGAGTGCTCCTGAGAGCTTGGAGGGGGGCAAAAATGAGCAAAAACAGCCCTCCCCAGCCCTCAGGAACACTTTCCAAGCCTCCAAAACTCTCTGCACATCCATTTTTGGAAAGGGGGCAGGGTTTTGGTAGGCCAAAAATGCTGTATTCAGTGTATAAGATGCACCCAGATTTTCACTATCTTTTTTGAGGAAAAAGGGTGTGTCTTATACTCCAAAAAATACGGTAGCTCAAAATGACCATCCCTAATGGTCACTGGAGACACATTATGACATTGAAGGACAGCAAAGTCAATACCTCAGTATTGAGCTATCTTTGTCCAACATCACTTTCTGGACAAGACCTGATTGGAAGGACCACAACCATTGCAGAACAGCAATATTCTGTAATTTTTCACTAAAATGCTTCTCTCAAACTACTCCTCTACAAATGGAGAAATTTAGGATCCCTGGAGAGAAAGTTGCCTCTCACTGCAATTTTCACAATACTGGTCTTTCAGACTTCTCCTGCTACTTCTCCAGTGATTGTCTTTGATGTAAACATCAAAGAAGAACATGGAAGGGATCTTTCATAAGAAAAGCATAAATGCCTCAGGTCACAATCTCCATAGAGTTAGGTTTTGCAACAGGCAGGGTCTGTGCTCTTAAATGCACTTTCTCACCTTTCCAGGTGAATCTTGGCTTGTCTCTGTCTGAATCAGGAAAGCTACTAGAATTTCCATATTGTGAACATGCTTTTAAATTATCCAACTCTTCTTCTTTCTTAGAAATGGGAAGGGGATTGATTCATCCTTATGAATTATGGACCTTCTGTTTCTCCTTCTGGTGCTGCTGTTGACCCAGCCAATCAATGGGAAGCTTAGAATAAAGGGCCCACTGAATTTCAAGCACCAGGGTGTAGAAAAACCATGGAGCTATTACAGGCTAGGAGACAATATCATTGGTATGATCACCACTGGAACAAAAATAAAGAATACAACAATGTTGCTTTTCAACAAGACACCTCATTGTCAGTTTGATATGTAAGTCATTCAATGTGATGCAGTTGCATCCTCTTTATTTGTATTTTTAACATTCCAATTCTTTCCTCCTTATTTTTCTTATTCCTATATTGCAGGATATAATTTCTTGAATCATTTTGATTTCCATTGCTTCTCTCTTTTGTGTAATTTTATATTTTAAAAACCCTCAAGTTCAAAGATGGAGCAGTAGAAACACTGGAAAAATCCAATTATGAACCTTTCCCAGTCCAATCCTATCATTTGACCATCAACTTTAGTTTGAAGCAATTATTGAAAGAGATGTAGTTGCCCCTATTCCATATTTTTATAACCACTCATTTATATTCAATGTTTGTTATAGGAAGAGAAGATAACTTGATTTTAGAATTGCTTTTCTGGGTCACTTATGAAACAGTCTCTTCATATTATGATAGTTCTGCTTTAATGATTGAATGATTTTAAATCCTGGTTACTATTAGTACTGCTGCAAATAATGGTTTATTTGTGATTCCTAAACTTGGTGGAAAACTATCTCCATCTCACCTCCCCAACACTCATTCAAATGAAATGGCGATGGGTAGCTACCATTTGCCTCTTGTTTTTATCAGTGCTGTCTTAATACTCAGAGCTTGTTACATTGAAAAATATTTTGTTATTGCTATTAACACTGATGATGATAACATTAACATATTTCACATTAGTTTACCTTTTGATAAGTTAAGAATACGCCGCTACATTTTTAATATTCAAGTGGTTAACAAGACTCCCCAACTTCTACAAAATCTCACACTTGGCTACAACATCCATGACAATTATTTGAACACGCTAGTGACTTCAGATGACTTGCTAGACATGCTCTCTACTGGAGAAGCCAATGTTCCCAACTACAGCTGTGGAAAGAAGGACAACATTTTGGCTCTTGTTGATGCAGCTACCAATGACATCTCTAGCCAGATGTCAACATTAGGAAGCACCTACAAAATCCCTCAGGTTTGTATGTGTATTTTTCTATAGGTTCATTCAGAGGGGTGGTATGGAAGACATCCAACCATATTTTCATTTGGTAACTCATGGCCATTGTAGGTATCATGGTTAGGGATTAGAATATACATTGTATATGGGGGCAAAGATCAAAGCAGTGATATCCTCTAATGACATTGTCATCATATCATCATCCATTGCTTTCTGCTGCACATCTGGAAAGGTGAGGAGAAGGGTCTTCTGTACAAAAGGAAGGTGCAGCAGAAGTAGGAAATAAACTTTTGTACATACTCCTAATAAAAATAATATATTGTATGGTAACCAAATCCCAGATTCATGAAAAGATTCCAAATAGATTATCGTACCTATAGATGATAAAACACTCATAAACTCATAGGGACCGCTTTCATTAATAAACAACTTTATTTTAAAATTGCAAACATATTAGCCACATATGAACTATTATTTGTACCCTTAAGCATTCATGATGAAGTTCATCATAAATAACTTGAATAGAAATAAAACTCCTGAGAGGACTTCCTGCCAGTAGAACTATTTAAATATATATATATATATATCTAATGATGCTGTCCTCTATTGGCAGGTTTATTTACACATATCAGTATTTCATATTATAATCAGTTGGGTTGAAGATGGCAATGCTGTTGTTGCTGTCAGTCATGCAGTTGTGTCTGACTCATTGCAATCCCATGTACAACATTTCTCCAGGCCTTCCTGTCCTCTACAATCCTCTGGTGTCCATTTAAGCTTACACCTACTGCTTCGGTGACTCCATCCAGCCACCTCATTCTCTGCAATCCCCTTTCTTCTTTTTCCCTCAATCTTTCCAAGGATTAGGCTCTTCTCCAGTGAGTCCTTCCTTCTCATTAGGTGGCCAAAGTATTTGAGTTTCATCTGCAGGATCTGGCCTTCTAAAGAGCAGTCAGGGTTAATCTCCTCTAGGACTGACCAGTTTGATTGCCTTGCAGTCCAAAGAACTCACAGGAGTCTTCTTCAGCACCATAGTTCAAAGGCCTAAATCCTTTGGTGCTCAGCCTTCCTTATGATCCAAATTTCACAGCCATACATTGCCACTCGGAAAACCATAGCCTTGACTATACACACTTTTGTTGACAGTGTGATGTCTCTGCTTTTTAGTATGCTGTCTAGATTTTCAATAGCTTTCCTCCCCAGAAGCAAGCGTCTTTAATTTCTTGGCTGCAGTCCCCATCTGCAGTGATCTTGGAAAATAAAATCTGTCACTACCTCTATTTCTTCCACATCTATTTGCCAGGAATTGAGAGAGCTGGATGCCAAGATCTTAGTTCTCTTGAATATGTCAGTAGTAGGCTTTATATTATCTTAAACATAGAATAAAAACAATTCCATTGTTCTAACTGATACTTTAGCTAAATATATATACTAGGCTCCTCTTAAGTATTGTTGAGAGTGAGTAGATGAACAAAGAATTTCTTGGCTTTAGACAGAGTTTTTGCTGACCAAGTCCTGAATGGAATATAGTACATCTAAATGGAGGGAAGCATGCAGTGTGGTCCTTCAAGAATTTATGAATATTCTCTTTGTGTACATCTATTAGTGTTATAATTAATCTATGGAAAACTGCAGACTCCCCAAATTCCGTGTTTTAGAAGAGATAATATTTTAATTAAAGACATCCTGTATTTTACAACTGACAAATTATATTAGGAGCTGTGTTCTCCCTGTCTCTTGTGCAACTGGAGAGCAAGCTAAAAAGATTGCTGCAGAAAGAATCAGATACTGAAGCAGAGAAAGATACAGCCATTCTCACTAAGGATGGTACATTAAAAAGGATGAACCTCTAAAAATGAGTTTCCAAATTGGCAAGTATTTCAATGTGGAAAAGCCTAAAAACCTTAAGGTAAAATTGACTCAAGCAAGTCTTGAGCATTGGACACAATGGTTAAATATGGATGATTTAACCAAGAACCTTGTAGTGAACAGACTTGTATTTGCTGAGCTCCAGAGATAGGCAAAGCTATCTATTATTTGAATGACAATTCTACAAGAAGAGATAAATGTCTTGGATTGTAAATTAGATAAATAACCTCAGGATATTGATATTAAAACAACACATTCTCTGTTCGATCAAAATTAAAATAGAACATACAATATGTAACTTTATTTGAACACAACATTTCAGCAGATATCTGCATAACGAGTCTGATTGCCATATATTGTAGGGATGATAAAGAAATATGATTTGCATTCTTTATTCTTATTCTTTTTAATTTATTTTCTTTTATGCTATTGTTGTATATAGACTTGTTAGTTTTTTTACTCTGTATCTTAATATAAGTTAATGACTACTCAACAATAAACTACTTGAATATGTTGATGAATACCAATTGGATTTGTTTAAAGTTCATATTTTGAAATTGATCTGACCTGAAATATAACACAACATTCGTCACTGTTTTTTCAGATCAGTTTGGAATTATTTTCAGAGTCACTGCATGATAAAAGTGATTTGCCTTTTTATCATCGGCTTTTTCCAAAAAAAGGGATCCTTTACCCAGGTATTGTCAAAGTACTTCTCCATTTCAGATGGACCTTGGTTGGTCTCTTTGCTTCAGATACAGAAAATGGAGAAAATTTCATGAGGACTTTTACTCCTTTGCTTGTTAAGAATGGAATTTGTGTTGTTATGTCACAACAATTCTCAAAGACTAGACACACAGCATCCCTAAGGGAGATCCTCTCTAAATGGAGACAAGTTAATGTCTTTCTTCACTACATAGAATATGGTGCTGTTTTGGACAGAATTATTCTTTTCCATTTAACTTTTATGCAATTGCCAGGACCCATTGAAGGGAAAGTCTGGATCACAACACTCATTGGACTATTTCCCCTGGAATACAACAAACATCTCAAATACGTTAATAGTTTCTGGACTGTTTCTTTGGAGAAAAGAAAATGGCCAATGACTTATGCCTTTCATCCCAATTTCTTTGTGGACCCACCCTTTGGAGATCAATCATTTCTTTGTTCTGTTTCAAAGCATGTCTTTTCTGTCAAAGGTCGGAAAAGATGCACAGAGAAAGCACCACTGGAGACCCAAAAGAAAAAGAACATGATACGGATCATGAATTTCCACAATTTTTACAGTGTCATTATGACCCTGGCTTATGCCTTGAATGATGCTTATTCTTCAAGATCTAGGAGGAGAAGGAAGCATGGGGAAGAGACATTGGTGGCTCCAAGGATGCAGCCATGGCAGGTATGTGGTCTTAACAAGGATCAAATATCAAACATCTTGAAAAGGGTGTTCCCAGATTCTTGGTTTTCTGCTTAGATAGACCAACATGATTCTTCTCCTTGTTGGCCTTCCTTGGGTTTAAAATCAGTTTTTTTGATGTCTCTCTTGGCTTTAGAATTGTTCCCAAAATTGATCCAGTTTTTCTGCAATCTTTTTTCTCAAGTGTGATTCCTGCAAGGGGCATTTAGAGTCTCCCCCAAAAAAGCAATGTACACCTCCTGAGATTCTCATTGAGGCATTTGCTTTCTTTCCATGATTGCTGACTCACATTCAGTTTGCAATCAACTATTCTTTTGAGATAATTTTCACACATATTCTTATCCCCCTTGATATTTCTCATCCTTCTTGCTCTATGTTTCCTCCTCCTCCTCCTCCTCCTCCTCCTCCTCCTCCNAAGATTGACTGGGCATGAGAGAGGTTGGTTCATTCCTGGCCCCCTACAATGGAGACCTTGGCAGAAGCAGCCACCACCACCACCACCAATGTGGAATGGCTTTGTACTTCTCTTTCTCTTAAATTCCAGTCAGGTTATTGTTTTCAGCCCAATTTGAGAAACCATTAAGAGATACTTGGAATTTTATATCTGATTCTAACTTATACATTTAAACACCCAATTTGATACCAACTGACAGTAATTCAATTGCATTTCATCCAAATCATTAGTGACATTATCATGAAATTAATTGTATGATTATTATCAAAACAAAATAAAAGTAAATTAAAATGCTACTGCTACTTCTAATTTATTATAATCAGTGACCAGTATATAACAATGTGAACAAAGTATAAATAAAATCTTAATGTCTACATGGTAGCTGCCATTTACAGCTTTGTTCTTACATGGGATACCATAGCTACTCAAGTCCTAGTTGCTAAAATGTTTTCAATTGGATTTTACTTGTTCACTTTCTTCTATCAGTGTGATAGTGTGTCATATGTTAACCTAAAATAAAAACTAATCTGACAGTAATCTTACAATAAGTTGAATTCGCTCATCTGGATATGTTCACAATCTGGTCTACCTGGGTGAAGATTAGCCTGGAAACTTTCTTCGTGACAAATCCATGCTTTCTGCTAATCAACTGCTGTTTTAAAAGAAAATATTCTCTTTGTGAAATTTATTCATGACCTGCTGTAGAATATTTGTATAATTGACAATTTTGTAGATTATATTTTTTTCCAATACATATATTATTGGCAAAATTTGCTAAACCTTTCTTTTTCATTTTTAAAGACTGCATTAAAACCTGTTCTCCCAACTAAGAATATTTGCATGTTAGACCACTGTAAAAGAATGATTCAAATGAAAACACATTAAAAAGTGCTAATTTACCAAGTTTACTGCTTTTAAAATTCCTGGATGTTCCCATTTTAGTTCCATCCCTTTCTGGAGAAGAATGAGTTTCTCAATCTTTCCACATATGTACTGTACTTGGACCAAAATGGAGATTTAGCAGCAGATCTGACTGTCAATAGCTGGGTATTTCTCCCTGAGAAAAATCTCATCAAAGAAAAATTGGCAAGGTTTGAAGGACAGAAACTTATTATCAACCAAACTCATCTGTCATTGCTAAAATTGCTCAACAGGGTAAGAGAAATATTGGTGTCTTTTCTCTATTTCCCAAAAGCTTTTAACTCATTTCATTGGGCTAAGCCAATGCACCTTGGCATAGTGTTGAAATGGAAAAGCTGTATGAAAATTCAGTACAATAACAGAATTGGAAGGGACCTTGGAGGTCTTCTAGTCCAACCCCCTGCCTAAGCAGGAAACCCTATACAAGTTCAGACAAAATGCTAAGAGAGGCCATCAAGCGTGAGGTATTGTCATACTGACACTTTCAGATATGTTTCTTCCTTGTCTTCAAATAGGAAAGAAGAATGCCAATGTATTGACCAATGCCTGAGTTTGGGTTTAGACTTAATTTCAATAAAATTGAATCCTGGATGGAAGTCCTAATAAGTTTCTGAATTAGGATTCTCCTTATCCTGGTTGTAACCAGTATCCATAAAAGTGCAAGGGAAGATGTTTTTAAGCCACACGATCTAGAGTTATCTATGCCTCTCTTTCACCTCACTGAGATAGAATTTCTACTCTTAGAAAGAGAAATCCAAAGCTTTCCGTCCATTTGGAATCATAATGACCCATCTGATGTGAAATAATGCCCTAACCCAAAAACTGAAGCATTGAAACCTGACTTTACCTCAAAGAAAATCTCTTCCTGATATCTGAAGTAATGAGTGACTATTTGAAAGGAAATACTGCTTAGATATGGTCTTTGTCTCGTAAGAGGGCACTTGAATCAAAGGTGGTATTCAACCAGTTTGCACTGGTTCGGGCGAATCAGTAGTGGCGGAGGTGCAAGGCTCTGCCCATCCACCCAGACATCATCACAGACCTTCTGTGCATGCACGCTCCCACTACCAAACCAGTAGTGAAGAAAACAGGATACCATTACTGCCTTGAATATATTTATTCATCTTGATTGTTATCTGCCTCCAATCTCTCTGGAAAAAAGGAGAGTCCAATTACAAATATGTTTTCCCCCTCCATGCCAGTTATTGTTACATAATTGTAGTTCTTCAACAGAAATCAAATTTTCTTAGATACCTAGTCGGGCCTAAGAAATATCTTCTTCCTAACTCAGTGATAATTTTCATGTTCCAAGAGTTACAGTATATCAAAAGACACTTGACTTAATCCTGTTTGAGGGCTACATTCTTATGACCTGCCCTCCAGTGGTGAAATTCAAATTTTTTTACTACTGGTTCTGTGGTCATGGCTTGGTGGGGGTGGTGTGGCTTGGTGGACGTGGCAGGGGAAGGATACTGCAAAATCTCCATTCCCTCCCTAATATGGGGCCAGCCAGAGATAACATTTGCTGGTTCTCTGAACTCCTCAAAATTTCCACTACCGGTTCTCCAGAACTTGTCAGAACCTGCTGGATTTCATCCCTGTTCCCCTCCTTTTCATCTCTCTCCAACTCTAGAAACTAGGCAGTCAATTTTAGTCTTATTTCACCAGCATGGCAGCTATATCATTAGAAGAAATAAATATAAAATGAACAAAGATCATCTCCTTTAAAGATGACAGCCTTGATTTCTAAGGAATGTTTCCTTTATAACATAACTGGGGGATGATTTTGGACTACTTTCAAAGGGGAACAGCTTTGCAATGTTTTCTGTATTCCAAAAACATTTCTCAATCCTATTGGTCAGAAGTTTTCTTTTTCATCAAAAATTTATTCTATTTTAAGAAATCTAATAGAATAAAAATGTAATAGATCATTTACAATAAAGTTATGGTAACATGTATTAATATAAATAAATCATCATACTTTAAAAGCATGGCTATATGAACAATGGAGGAATGCATATCAATACAGCCAGGAGGAGGGACTGACTGTTTGTCACTTAATGTTCAAATCTTTTTTTCTCACTTACATCCCTCCAGACTTTATTAAGTGGAAAAGTCAGTGTGTTAGGCCTGGAAGCCATCTTTTGCATTGGGCCTTCTGTCTTGCCACATTTAATGCTGTGGGAAAATGGGAGGAGGGTTTATATGGAGTATGGGAGATATATAATCATAATAATATTCTTTTCTCAGAGAGTCAAGGATAGCTTGCCTTGCACCAGGAAGGGTGTAAGTAGGAGCAGGGGTAGGTTTCAATTTTTTTTACTACTGGTTCTGTAGGCATGGCTTGTTTTGTGGGCGTGGCTTGGCAAATTTATGTTTCAGATTGGAGATGGAAAATAAAATATGCTGTAAAACTTTTTTTTTTTAAAGACCAAAGCTGCGCCAAGCTGAACGCAGGAGAGCTGTAGGGTCTGTTTTGTTCACTGCCTGTGAGCTCCTGGAGGGGGCAGCAGCTGAGCGAGCAAGCCAGCAATCTGCAGGCTGCCGAGCATCCTGCTGATGAGTAAATTTGCTCATGAATAAACTGCAAATTAGAGGCAGCTGGCAGATCCTGGCATGCTTGCTTGGCTGTTCCCTCCACCCCCACCCCCTGATTTCACAGGCAGCAAATGAAACTGCCACCTCCTGCCTCCTGCATCAAGGAGACGGAGGGCTCGATCCCACTTAGGAGGCAATGGTTGCGAAGCCTGGGGCTCCCTGAGCAGTCCATGCTGCTTACCTGTGTGTAGGCACTAGGGGGCAGTTATGTGGATGCATGTGGTGAATATGAGGCAGCGTCCCAGCATACTGGTTCAGGGGTGTGGCCAGTGAGCCATCACTACTGGTTCTGTGATCCACTCTCAATTCCCACTACCGGTTCTCCCAAATAGATCTGAACCAGGAGCAATCCACCTCCGATTAGGAGGCATCTCCAATTGGGATGGTGTCTGATTGGACCATGTGATGAACATGTAGATGCTGGGCAGGGACTTGGACTTTCATTTGGGTGGGGAAAACCTGGAAACTTTCAGATTCAGGTTTTCCCAGATGTGCCAATATGACATCTCTAATAAAATGGAACTTTGAGGAACTTTAAGCCTCCAAGTCTTCTTTTGTTGGGGATGTTACTTGGAACCCTGACACAATGATTCCAATGTGATATGCCAGAAACAAAAGGGAGAAATTAAATAAAGAATCTGCCAGTACTTATATCTCCTTTATCCATGGGTGAATGATTTCATCTTTACCTAAGTGAAGCCCAGAGATTACTTGGCTAATGTTTGCCTTGATCTCCATTTTCCATGGATGCTTAATCCCAACATATTTTCTTTGGCATTAATTGTTTTTTTTTTCCTGCTTAGTCTCTCCCTCAGTCCAAATGTGTGGAAAATTGTCATCCTGGATTTGTCAAGCGGCCACAAGAAGGAGAGCCGGTTTGCTGCTATGACTGCATTCCCTGTCCAGAGGGAACCTTCTCTACTCAGGAAGGTGACTAATGCCAAAAATAGAGAAAAGGGCAGAGCATTTTCATGTTAAAAGATAGATTAAAACTCTACTTTTCTCTTATTTATTTTCAAGCTTATTTATTTCTTATCTAAAGGGAAGAAGAGCAAAAAGACCTTGAAGGACAGGGCTGGATAGAGAGAGGAGGATATGGCAGATTTGGCAAGCTTTTACTACTGTCCGAGGATATGTCTCTTCTATTTTTTTAGCTTGGATATGTCCTGCCAAGTTCATCTTTCTAGGAAATCCTTTGAAACTTGAGGAATTGTCTTAGGTCCACCTGCTGGAACTATTGTTGCAATGCATTCAAATCAGCCTCCCCTTGAGGATACCTGTGCAGATGTCACAGGTCCAAAATTATTTTGGACAGTTAATGGGGGCACCTCATTGCCCACACTAATAATACTTCCCCCATTATTCATTCCAAATTATTTTCAGGATTAGATTTCTCTGACAGCCAACAAGATTTCACAAGAAGAATCCTTTAAGTCCAAAATGGTAAGAGGTACCATCTGGCAGGACACTGTAAATTTCCCTAGGATTAATTCATTCATAATTAATCCCTAATAATGTAGGTTTCTACAAAGGCTTTGCATATTATACAGAAAATCATTTGGGTCCTTGGACTTTTCCCAATTCCATAGATTATTAGCAGTATTATTTGGAGGTTGTAGATAGGCCAATAGAAGATCTCACTTCCTCCCCCAGCACATACTTCCCCTCCATCTTCCCATCTTTAGTTATTATTTGTATTGTTATTGTGATTGAAATATTTTTTCACATAGTTTTATTGTTTTTAATTTTTTAAACTGCCCAGAGTCTCCTGTGGGAAGATGTGTGACTGACTGACTGACTGACTGACTGACTGACTGAATGCTATTTTTTAAGAAAACAATACTCTTCCTATTTTCTTTCTATGGAGATGTTACAAAATACATCTGGAAAATGTTGCTATTGACAGTTTTTATCCCAAGAAGGTATTTTCTTAAAATGTAAGGAACATAATGTTAAATAAATGTTGCTTTTTCATTTTCTCAGATATGGAAAAATGCACCAAGTGTCCAGATGATAAATATCCAAATAAGGACAGAATCCAATGTATCCACAAAGTTATATCCTTTCTGTCTTATGAAGAATATCTAGGCATCATCTTGGTCTTTTTTGCCCTATTCTTGTTCTTAGCCACAAGCCTTGTTTTAATCATATTTATTAAATACAGAGAAACTCCCATTGTCAAAGCCAACAACCGGGATCTCTCTTACATCCTTCTGGTCTCCCTCCTGCTTTGCTTCTTATCTCCTTTTCTCTTCATTGGTCAACCAAGAAAAGACACCTGCCTTCTCCAACAAACAGTTTTTGGTAATATCTTCTCAGTTGCCATTTCTTCTCTCCTTGCCAAAACCATCACAGTTGTTTTGGCTTTCCTGGCCACAAAACCAGGAAACCAAGTGAAGAGATGGTTGGGAAAGAGCTTGGCCAACACCATCATCCTTTCTTGTTCTGCTGTGCAAATTATCATCTGTTCCATTTGGCTTGGAGTTTCTCCTCCATTCCCAGACTCTGACTTCCATTCCCAGCTTGGAGTAATCATCCTACAATGTAATGAAGGGTCTGTTGCCATGTTCTACATTACCCTCAGCTACCTGGGCTTCCTGGCTGCCATCTGCTTCATGGTGGCTTTCCTGGCCAGGAATCTCCCTGGGGCTTTCAATGAAGCCAAGCTGATCACCTTCAGTATGCTGGTCTTCTGCAGTGTCTGGGTGACTTTTGTGCCCACCTACCTGAGCACCAAAGGAAAATACATGGTGGCTGTGCAAGTCTTCTCCATCTTGTCCTCCAATGCTGGGCTAGTGGGTTGCATCTTCATCCCCAAGTGTTATATCATCATTCTGAGGCCAGACCTGAATACAAAGGAGCAGCTTACAACCAGAAGAAATGTAGAAATGTGAGACTAAACAATTTTCTCAATGTGTTTCAGCAGGTCACACCTAGAAAGAGTCCAAGGTTCTCTCCATCCATCATTTAGCTTGAAATAATTAAAGGGCAGTTGGAAGATAGTGTTCCCCATACTTGTCCATTTGAATCTCATGATGGCCACTGAACTCTTTTGAACAGTCAAAACAGAATATCTGTCCTGTACTGTACTTAAGACCTGAAACATGACACTTGTGCAAAGGGAACTGTGTGTATATGCCACAAAAAAATTGTCTCTGAAAAAATGCCATGATTTTAGTTGTATCATAGTTTTTGTGAAATTTGGATTATTTGCAGTATTGGAGCAAAGATTTCAGCATCGTCAGCATAAAGAGAGTAGAGAGAAACCATACCACCCAATTAGAAATAGGATAATCTGGATAATCCATGTGATCAACTAAATTATCATGTTAATCTCAAGGCTTCCCAAGACACTCTTGCTTTTAGATTTTATCACTGGTTGGATTTAAGGAAGGGAGGTTGGAACAAATAAACACAAGGATGCATAGATTGAAACAAGAGGCAATTTAGGTAGTATATTATGTAATTGTTACTGTAATTGCAATCATGTAGAAGAGCTTAAATATATAATTAGTAAGTAGTAATGTGTATTGAATATGCAAGAGACTTGTGTTATACTCTGTATGGCAGAGAGATTGCCAAGACAGTTTCACCATATCCAACAATTTTCTTTTTTAACAATAAAAGTTTTTAAAACTTTAAAAAAAACCTAAATTATCATCTTAACCCCAAGGCTTCCCAAGGCATTCTTGCTTTTAGATTTCTTATTTGTAGAGATCCCTTCTGGGTCCGGGGATGAAGGAACTTTTGCTCATGTCCTCATACGATGCCCTTTCTTTGATGCTCCAAGACTTGCTCTGACCACCGCAATTATTTCCAGATACATTTTAGGCATATTATTTTTGAATGTCTGCTAATCTAAAACTCACCCAATATTTTAAAAAGTTTTAAAATGTTTAATGAGATATGCCTTTTTATTGTCCTTTTAATTTCCCTCCCCAATAAAAGATATTGTAATGTGTAATCTTTATTGTTCGGAGACTATAATAAAGATATGTGACATGTCTTGACTTGAACAAAGCTTCTGTTTTCGGGATTCAATGGAAATCAAGGAGGCTTTCATGTTCTGCAGGTGACAGACATAGAATCCTGACATTGCTGATTTGTCCTTTTTTGATTCAACAGTTCAAGTTCATTACTTCAGCAACAGAGTGGTTAATACGCTACCTGAGTCCATTGTTATATCCCCAAACCTCCACAACTTCAAGCTTAAACTTTCTACCATGGACCTCAACCCATTCCTAAAAGTTCTGTAAAGGGGGCATGCATAAGTGCACTAGCATGCCTTCCATCCCTATCCCCATTTATTTGTGCTCATTTCATTTGTTCATGTCCATGTTTATACTTATACCTGTCATCTTGTACACAGTTGACAAACTAAATAAATAAATAGATTACTGATCTGGCAGCTGTGAAGTGGCAATAGCAATAGCAGTTAGACTTATATACTGCTTCATAGGGCTTTCAGCCCTCTCTAAGCGGTTTACAGAGTCAGCATATTGCTCCCAACAAGAATCCAGGTCCTCATTTTACCCACCTCGGAAGGATGGAAGGCTGAGTCAACCCTGAGCCGCTGAGCCGCTGAGATTTGAACAACCGAATTGCAGAACTGCGGTCAGCTGAAGTAGCCTGCAGTGCTGCATTTAACCACTGCGCCACCTCGGCTCATATAATGAAGTCCCTTGCTGATTCATCAGATATGAAGTCCATTGTTGATTCAAAATATGTGGAGTCCATTACTCATTTGTCAAGGTAAATATGTTCCATTTAGGAATCCTGAAGCCTTCAAAAGACAGCTGCAATAGGATCCTGAAGAAAAAAGGCTGCATATTATTTTGCCCCAGAGGGTGAAATGTCATGGGGCCTGCACAAGCTGATGATTTCTCCCATGTGACTGTGATAGCAGATTCCCTCCCTTCCCTTCTCCTCACTTTGGGGTGTCAGGGGAGAAAAATAAATTATGAGCATAGCTGCACTTAATAAAAATAGAACAGAAAAGTCTCACTTTAGGATTCAGGTGCTGATTAGAATTTAAAGCATAGCAAACATAAAGCCTTTTCTATAAGGCACTTTCATCACATTGTAATGAGGGTCAATTGGATAAGCAGTCAAAAGAGAACATTTTCCAAGTTTCACCCCTTCAACTTTTAAATACCTTGGGATGACAACTCATGGACTTTCCCAATCATTCCATTAATGAAGCCTATTTAAACAAGAAAAGACCCAGAGGAGATGATCTTCTAAGGCTGGATGTTATAACATTGGGTAATAATTCCATTGTCAAGGAAAATTTGGGGAGTCTAAAGAGCAAAGATCCAGTGGTACTAAATTCACCATTGGTAGGATATCATTCCCACTGTAAAGTCCCACAGTTATGCATGTTAGATTTTATCCATGCATCAAGCAAGAACTCTGGAAGGATTATGAGCCTGAAGTGAATCACATCATGTAAATGATGACATTATATGATCACTTAATTTGTAGAAATGACCAGAAAGATGGATGATATTACTCCTATTAATTGAGATTCTGTGTGGGAAAACAATACAAATTTAATTTAAAGGAGCACTGTGGTCAAGGTTCTAATCAATTTATTTCCATATTCAGGCTCTCCATTGATAAAATATGAAGTAATGTTTTCTTCTCTTTAAATCCACCACATCTAGGAATATTTATTGATTATTATATTAGGATTATTTAGAGAGGATTATTCTCCAGAATGCATGCAATTTGCAGAGTAGAAAAGGCAAGGTTTCTGCCCAAATCTTGACCAAGGAGAACAAATAAGGATCCAGGAACAAATCTGGATTAGAAGGACTCTTGTTCAACTTGTTTTAGTTAAACAGTTACTCAGCTTCAGATCTGTTGGGTTGCCTCAATATCAAGATTTATCAATGCACTTTCTCGGCATTTTGTTCTCAATGTTCTCATCTTCCCATTTAGGCCCTGCACTTTATATATTGCAGTGTTTTTAATCTTGCCATTTAGCTCCTTCTTAAATCCAAGTGTGTGGAAAGTTGCCCACCAGGATTCTTCAAGGTAGCTTTTGGAGGAGATCACATATTTTCAAATTCCTGTTTTATTTCTTCTATCTTTAACCCCCTTCCCAATTCTGAAAACTGAGGATCTTGGAAACAGTCCTTCTCTGTCCACCTGTCTTTTCCCATGTAAGATTGAGAATATCTTCACGATGTTTTGACGAGGTCCCACTTGCCATCTTCAGGCTGGTGCCTTCGACTTCATGCTTATGCGAGTAAAGCGTGGTCGGAGCTGCCGTCTTTCTATAAATATTGGTGTGTGTGTATGTGTGTGGAGTGCTGGCTTTATTGCTGTAAGCAGGTTGTTTATCTGTATTGTTACATCTTGATTAGTTAATGGAGTTGATGTATGCAGATTAGTCGGCTGTTTCGTAACATCCTGTGTGGCTGAGGTACTAGCTGTGTGCCCATTAGTCTTTTGTGTTGTAACGACCTGGGTAATGGGCTGTGTGATGGATATTACAACGCAGCCAACCTCCCAGGATGTTACAGCACCGGACTCAGGATATCACTACACTAGAGCTCAGGATGTCATTGTACAAACTTCATATCTTTGCAACACATTATATTTTTTTACATATCTGTTGTGATTCTTTTATCTATACAAATAAATTTTTATAACTATAACTTTCTATATTTGTGCATTTACATTATTTCATAGATTTTTCTTTCTATATATAATATTCTATATATTCTATATAAAACAGTTTTTAGTGCATTTAAGTCATTTTGTATAATATTTATTTGGTATAGTCTATCTCATATTTCTATCTTTTAATCATTTTCCAGTTTTTGTAGTTGTCTATTGATTTGTTGGTCTTTCTTCCTTTCTTTTTTGCTTTCCTGTTCCCCCCCTTCCTCTAGCCAATTGTACAATAAATCCCATATAAAGTAGTATTCAGATTCTTCTTTCTCTTTTAGTTCTTTCATGACATATCATGACCTTTTTTTGCCTTTGTGGAGCTGGGTGGGCATGGCCTGTGTGTGATGCATCTGGCCCGTAGGCCACTGGTTTGACACCCCTGTTTTAGAGATTTGTTGAAGCCACCTATAACACTTTTGGGATTTACTTCCAAACTTCAATTTAAAGAAGATTAAAGAAAGGTCTTCTGAATCAGGCTAAGGTCCATTTTCATGTAAGTTACCCAGATACCTCTGGAGTCTCCACAAGCAGAAGATGAGAGCTGAGGTGGCGCAGTGGTTAAATGCAGCACTGCAGGCTACTTCAGCTGACTGCAGTTCTGCAGTTCGGCTGTTCAAATCTCACCGGCTCAGGGTTGACTCAGCCTTCCATCCTTCTGAGGTGGGTAAAATGAGGACCCGGATTATTGAGGACAATATGCTGACTCTGTAAACCGCTTAGAGAGGGCTGAAAGCCCTATGAAGCAGTATATAAGTCTAACTGCTATTGCTATTGCTATTGCTAAGATGTATGAATTATCACAATTCTGACTGGGTATTTGCGCTAAATCTCAGCTATCTTCCTTACATCACATCCATGGGAAAGTCCATCATGTCATTTTGTAGGAATTCTTTTCTCAGAGTTTATGATAAAGTCTGCCCAGTTTTGGGTTACATTTTCTATATTTGTTAGACATATTTTTAAATATTTTAGCGAACCTAACAGGCAGTAAATGCCATCCATAAAACATTTTATATAAATTTTCTTTATATGAAGTTGCCATTGTTAATTTATAGTTTCTTTCCCATAATTTTGCCACTTCTCTAATTCTGTTATAGCAAGACAGATATGATATCTTCACTGCTGAAAAGAGCCATCTTACAATTCTATAGTACAAGGAAGGAGGACAATTGTGCAACTAGCCCTTAAGTTATCATTAGCCCATTAATGTATG